GCTTTATTTAAAAAGCCTTAAGCAGTTAATGATTTGGAGAAGTATTGCCAAATTACACTCAGCAAATTTAGTAGTATGCCCCAATTTAGTGGGCACAAAACCTGTTTATTGTTGAATGAACAACAAGTATAATGTAATTGGTTTCATACAATTAGGAGGTCACCAAGCCATGCTTATTATAATTGGCATTGCCATAGCCAGGGGCTTGTGCGACCTCAAGCAATGATTGGCCTGAAGGAGTAAGCCAAGAATGTGTGTGCTTTGGGCTAGGGAGACTGACTAATCTGGCTGCAAGGCTCAGGGAGGGGGCCAGAAATCAAGTCACAGTGCTTAGTGGACTCAGCTGAATGTGGTGTCCATTCAGTTCATCGCTCTCCAGGGGTTTGATCTGGAGCTGGGGATGGAAGGTGGTTGGGAGGAATGAGGTAAAGAGGAAGGCACCAGAAAACTACAATTGAAATGTCAGTTCAGAGGCATCCCACAATAAGATGGGATCATAATTCCTCTGAAAGCCATGCAGTTGGAAGCTGGTTCCCAGCTTGTAGGGACTGGGCTTTAACTTTCACACAGACCATCTTTAATTCAATCTTTAAGCAAAGATTAACGGCGCTACTTGTTTCAAAAAAACAGTTTTACCTCCACAAGGTTGTGGACTGATGACTGGCTGTAATATCACTCCAAATACCAGGGTCATCTTTTCCCAAACATGTTTTTAATGGATAATTAAGTTTAAGAAGTAAAAAAGGAAGTTTAGCTGGGAATGACATATTCACAGAGATGCCAGAGAACACTCCTGATGATGAGCAATCATTTATCATTAGAAAATGTTTTTCCTTAAGATTCTGAAAGCAATAAGCTTCACTTTGCCAGTGTGCAAAAAGAGCTAAAGAATAATTAAGGCCTTTGTTTCCTTGCTGGTTCTGTTTTAGCTTATGAGCGATGGGTGCATTTGGTCTGTGTGTAGTACAGATGAGTCACAAGTTGAACTGGCCAGGTGTGCCACTTGGTTTTCTCCCCCATGTTCATGAACTGCATGACTAACCTCATCCCATCATTTTGCAAATGAAGACCACTAGCCACAAAGAAGACTGGGTGAGAAAAGGTCAGTTTGCAGGGCAAATCAGTCATCGTTGCTGGAAAAGCAACTCCCAGTACATATAGCTCGATTTTTCCATATGAGAGCAGCATATTTCAAAGGTTCTGATAGAACACAGTGCAATGACAGGGACTTCCAGGACACTTGATTCACCACTCTATAAAACAAAGAAATGAATTATCAGGGAGGCTGATGTTTATTGATTTTGGTGATATTTTTGTTTATCATTTAAAGCACACCAAATTATTAACAATCTGTTTTGCCAGAACAGATAAGAATCTAGAACTATAAATCTACTGCTGGCTATAGATGAAGACAGTTCTCTTTTGTTACTTAATATCAGTATTTATTTTCTCCACTAGAACTGCTTAGCTGGGGTGAATTCTAGCTGATAATTTCAGAAGGGTGAAAAGCTAACTAGAACTGGGCATTTAGCCCAGATAAATCTGATTCCAGTACTATGAAAGAAGCAGCAAGGGAAATAGAAAGTCTTTGACAAAAATTGTTGATAATTGGCTAAGGACTGGGGAGGGAAACAGAAGACTTGGAGAGCTATGAATGTTATTCTAATGTAGAAGAAAGACACAAGGGAGGAATCAAGGCACTACAGATGAACGATCCTCTCTTTACTTCTAAGAAAAATTAAATATATATATATATATATATGTATATGTATATGTATATGTAAAACTACAATTCAAGGTCTGCTATCCAGAGCTCTTAGGAAATAAGTCTTTCTGGAAACCTAAATTGCAGGGGCAAAATGGAAATCTGGGGTTTGAATTTCTACTCTGTGTGATGTTGGGCAGGTGACCTCACTTATCTGCATTTCAGTGGCATCCTCCTGCCTCTTCCATAAATTGTGCATGATGTGACCACTTATTCCACAGAGCTGTTATCAGGATTAAATCAGAGGCTCGCAGATCCATTTTTCTAATCAAATAATAAGTATTTAAATATTGGTAAGCACTTACCTATTTTTACACCCGTTAATTTTATAATTTTAACAAATTTGTATATGAAGTTACATAAAATATCACATACCTCCTTCCTAATCAAAATTGAAGCAACATAATTTAATGTCTTGAATACTCAGATTGTCATTACTAAGAGCCATGAATGGATGAGGCAGTAGTAAAACAGCAATGCTCTCAGCACTTGTTGAGCTAGCTCCTACTTTCCAGGATTATACTGAAAAATAAGGTGAAGACCCAAAATAACAATGAGATCCTTACCCAATGAGTCCTTTTTATTTAAAAAGTTTTATAGAGTAAATAGAGTGCTGGGAACTAATTTATTGTCCTGTCACTGGAAAGGATTAGGACCAATCATTCTGAGCAGATGGGTATTATCTAGATTGTTAAGAATGTGAGAAAGAAAGAAAGAAGAAAGAAAGAAAGAAAGAAAGAAAGAAAGAAAGAAAGAAAGAAAGAAAGAAAGAAAGAAAGAGAAGGAAGGAAGGTGGGGAGAGGGAAGGGAAGGGAAGGAGAGGGGAGGGGAAGGGAGGGGAAGGGAAGGAGAGGGGAAGGGAGGGGAAGGGAAGGAGAGGGGAAGGGAGGGGAAGGGAAGGGAAGGGAAGGCACTAGGAATAAAGTAGCTCCTTCTCACAGCAAACATGAATCCCTGACCTCTTTTTTTTCTACTTTACTCCATTTATGAGATTAAATTAGTATGGTTGCAGAAGATATAAGATTGTAAATTCACCCAGACGAAGAAATAGCAACTTGAATTTAACCGCTGCCTTTGCTTTAACCACAGGAGTTCAAAGGACAGTGCCATCAAGTAATATTCACAAAGCATGCACAGTGCTCCCCACAGAACTCATAAAGATGTGGCTATTTTACTCTAAGGATTCAGTCTGGAAACAAAAAGATATATTTTGAAGATTCTGAACTCTTAAAAAAAAAATCCATGCATTATTAAGGGTGGACAGTCTATTTTATAGATGGAGAAACAGAGAAAAAGAATTGATTCCATGGTCCTAGATCACCTGGGCAGTGACACATGCAAAATCACTTCAGTCTCTTCCTCCTATTTCAGTGTGTTCTCTCATCACTGGGCAGTGGTGGATTATTCCAAAGTAGTTATGAATTATTCCTTAAACCTAAAGCACAAAGTTTAAATGGTAATCTAAAGCATTTAAGGTACAGAAAATGTTTGCCCATGAAAACACACTCAATGTCCATGTCGTGGTAAGTTATCAAATTATGAAGAGAACATTGCAGAGATTAAAATGTTGCATAAGAGAGAAAGCAGCATGAGTCAGGGGTTTGGGAAATATGAGTCAGAATGACAGGAAGGAGCCAAAAACATAGAGAATGCGGGCCTAAGCAGGGACTTAATGGACACCACAGAGATGTGGACACAGTTGCCTCCATTAACTTTTGAGAGGAAACCAAGTATGCAGTCCCATAGACTGGGGGTCCGCATGATAAAGAGGCTAGGAGTAAGAGCCGAGCAAAGATCAGACTGCATTATTTGAAGCAATAATGGTGCCAAAGTCAGCAAGAAAGGGACCTACAACAGTATAAATCACTAGGAGGGAGAGTGTGGGCACATTTTTGAAAAATGAGGGAATCACCAAATACTGCCCTTAGCTATTCTTGATGCATTAGAATGATGAAATGTGAGTTGATTTACGTGTTGTGATATTTTAGGAAGCACACTCTATTATTTTGTTCTCTGGCTATGTTTACATTAGGCTGTGTCTACATAGTTCAGAGCTGCTCCCCGTGATGTCCAATTCAAATTCCAATCCCACTTTGAGGCCCTGAATTTTTGCTTAGGATTTGCGCTACCACTTTATGAGCCCCTTCAAGCAGGCACCGCAGCGGGCTCCTCACACACAGCCCCTCCAGCCAGGCTGACTCCAACTGCCTTGCAGACCACTTGTTTCATTGGAGGTTTTCTAATGCGAGCCTGCCTCCTGCCTAGAAATAGCCTCCTCACCTTCTTCAAAACGCAGCTCAAAACTCCCCTGGCCCAGCAAACCTTCTACAGCCACCCACCTCCGATGCTGCCTTATGCCTCCTAGTTTCTGCACTTCTCAACAACTTTGCTTTCCTACAGTTTCCGTGTGCTGACATCTTGCTGGTTTTGCTGTTTCTCACATCTTGCCTGTCACCCTTCCAGTGATTAGTTCCATAAGATAAAACACTGATCCTACGTCCTTCAAACTCTAGGCATCGGTTCCAGCAAACGATTATCATTCATTCATCCATTTATTGAACAAACAGAAACCCACGATGTTTCATGCACTCTGCGAGGCATTAGGAATACAGAAAAAAGTAAGATGTAGACCCCATCCTCAAAGAGTTTGGGGCCAGGGCCCAGGGAATGTGTTAACTGATTGCTTAAGAACTGTGAGCTTTACTGTCAAGGATAAATTATAGATAGTTTAAAAGCAAAACAAAAACTCCTCTCCCAGAGTACTTTTTCCTAGATTACCAAGAAAATCATGGCTGACCTGAGTCGTTTCCCTTATGAATAAAGCAGTGCTTTTGCCATTTGAGATACTTCCACCACAGAGGCCTTTCATAAATGAAAAGTCTGGGAAACCAGGTCTTCTGATATACCAGCATAGGAATGGATATTCTTCGAGTCTCTGACATAGATGTATGTTTTAGTGACTTACCACGTTAACTTTCTGATGTTTAAGACAAATAGAAATGCATACAAGTAGAAAAGGAAAGCGTAGAGGCAGCTGGCTGGCTCAGTCAGTAGGGCGAGCGACTCTTGATCTCAGGGTTGTGGGTTTGAGCCCCCCATGTTGGGTGTAGAGATTACTTAAAAAATAAAACCTTAGAAAAAAGTGTAAGAGACTTTAACAATGCATAACAATTCTTACATGACTTTCTCATATGACATATGCTTTGTGAGTAAATAATAACAGGGTCTCAAAGTACAATTTTTAAAATAATAAAATTGTGTTATTTAAATAATGGTATGAATTGACAGTATAATCGAAGATAGTTCAAAGAGATCCTATCTGTCTATGTGTTCTTCAGCATTAGATAAACTGCTAAGAGTGAAGGAGAGGATAAATCGTCTCTGCTTGAGTTGGAGAAGCTGTAAATGAAAATGTAGTCAGTTCATTTCCTAGCAGATCCAGCTCTAGGTATATGACAGAGCACGCATTCAACTCCTTTGGAATAATTTCTTGAAGGGGATTTCATGCAGTTGTGTTTTACTGAATTTCAGGAAGTTTCCCATCTGAAAGAATTAAAAATTAAAGTGAGTCCAAGTATGTACAAAGTGTGTTAAAAATATCACCAGTGTTAGGTGCGGTGAGTCCTATTGCAGTTTTGTTTGTTTGTTTGTTTGTTTGTTTTGATAGAGAAAGGAAAAGAATACAGTGGCATGGGGGCAGTGGTATTTTTTTATTATTAAATTATTTTAACTCACCTAACATTTTTACTCAATAATCTTTCTCAGAGGGTCAGCGGACCTGGTTCTTAAGAAGGGGTAGGTCCAGGTAGCGCAATTTTTACATTTAAAACCTATTTAATGATATATTAAGTCCACTAGAAATATTAGCCTACTTATCAAAGAGCCTTAGAAGTGAACAAGAAAGTAGGAAGGAAATTGTAGGGCATTGGGAATGCGATGGGGTGGAGGCGGTTTGCAGAGAGGTCTCAGAAAGAAAAGCCGCAGTCACTGGTGAGGCCTCCCTTAGAACATGCAGCAGCCGGCCCCAGTCCTTGATCTTCTGCCCGCATGTACTGAGGAAACTTGCCACATCTGAGTCTCACATTTCGGTATCTCTCAGGGCTGTTATCACTGCAAATGTTGGCAGATGCTCTTGACATAAAACAATAGGAATTCTGCTGTCATTTCTGCATTAGCGAGTCATAAAGCTCTGAAAGAAACCCCAGTAGAAATGTTTTCATCAAGTGCATATGAGAATATAATAAAAGACACAAAAAAAGAGCAGATAATTTCAAAGCAAGACTGTGGCACCTCTGCATAGTACCTTAAAAGGACAGAGTTGAAATCACTGATTTGAAAATAATGATGATGACAATGGATGTCAAAACAAAAATAAAAATCAATAACGCAAAAAGTTCACCACAACTTTAAAACCAGGTTCAAAGAATTATGTTAAGTAGATGCTTTTATAGGGTATTAACCAATAAATGGCCATACATCCCTCGAGTATTTCTCATCTCCCCTTCTTCTTTCTTTTGGAAAAAATCTCTGTTATCGTTCAAAGCCGATATCTGAGGACAACTCTCTTACAACAGGAACCTCCTACATTCTTATATTGGTAGAGTGAGTGCATCAGCTTTCCCTGGAAATAGAGTTGAAAGGCAACACAGCAGGAACCACTCTCTGAGCGTCTTTAGGAGAAGGAAGGAATTGAGGAATACATTCTAATTACTGATGGCTCATCGTTTGTATTGAATTTTAGCCCACTGTTTGTTCCAAAGCACCACCCTGGGTTTACCACAGTGATGATCTAAGGCTCTCAGTTTCTGTGCAAAATTTGTCATCTAGGAATTCCAAGTTTGATAAAATTTTTTAACAAAGCTTAGACTCTTCAGTTGTTGAAGAATGCCAAAATCACATAATCTTCTTAACTCACCTATTTAACTTCATAATGGGAGAGAGTTAATTGAATGCGAAGGTAATGTTGAAAAGGCAAAATTAAATTTCACTTATAAATTACTGTAATATGAATGCACACGCACAAATTCACATCACACTTTGATCCCAAAGAAATTCATTATAACAGATTCATTATATTATGAGCATTTTTTACTTTTCTGAAACTATAATCTACCTACTCCTTAGGGCACATTTAGTAAATTATAGAACTGCTTTGGGGAAATACCTTTTTTAAACTGAAATGAAATGCTTTGGGAAAATAGGTATTTTAAACTACACCAGTTTTATCTCTCCTAGAGGAATATGAACAAGTTGAATCCTTTGCATTTTGAAATTTTCAATGAAAGAGGTTTTTTTTTTTAAGATTTTATTTATTTATTTGAGTGAGAAAGAGAGCACGAGCAGGGGGGTGGAGGGGCAGAGGGAGAGGGAGAAGCAGGCTCCCAGCTAAGGGAGCCCGATATAGCTCTATCCCAGGACCCGGGGATCATGACCTGAGCTGAAGGCAGATGCTTAACTGACTGAGCCACCCAGGGGCCCCAAAAAGGGTTTTTTTAAAAAGATTTACTTATTTGAGAAAGAGAGAGGGCATGCTGGGGGGAGGGGCAAAAGGAGAGAGCAAGAGAATCTCAAGCAGACTCCACATTGAACGTGGAGCGTGACACAGGGCTCCATCCCACGACCCTGAGATCATGACATGAGATTCTCTTGTACTGAGAAGTACAGAGATGCTCAACCAACTGAGCCACACAGGCATCGCTGCAATTAAAGTTAAAAAAAAAAAAGGCAACAGGAAATGTACAGTATTAAAGTTTGATTTATATCTGGTTACTGAACAGATCTTTAGAGACTTGTCAACATAAATGATCTCAAATACAATATGTTGGGTAGAAATATTATACAATTTATTTACACTAAAACACACAAAATAGCACTGTATATTCTAACAGATGCACTGTTTAGTCTAATGGATGGATGTATAATAAAAGTATAAAACCATTTCAGGGAAAGATTCACACCTACCAGCATAGTGGTAGGTGGGTGGGTAAAGAGATGAGAATACAGTAAGGCTTTAGCTATGTCTCAAATATTTCATTTCTGGAAATAAAGTGAGCCGAGACAAGCATCGGTTAATGTTAGCATGTGTTAAATCTGAGTGGTATACACCGGCACCTATGAAATTATTTTCTGAACACTTGAAATCATTTATCATTTTAAACATTTCTAATATAATAATATTACAGAGTATTGTTTTAAGAATAAAGTAAAAAACTTTATTTCTTAAAAAAAAGTATGATGACAATTCAACATAGGGAATGTAGTTCTGGTACTGCAATAGTATCATTGTATGGTGACAGATGGTAGCTAGACTTGTGGTGAGTATAATGTAACGTATAGAGTTGTTGAACCACTATGTTGTACATCTGAATGTCACTTATGTGTCAACTATACTTCTTCGGGTTTTTTTTAAATGGAGGAAATAGTAACATCTGCACAACCAACTCAAACTCTGTGCTGGATGTCTTTACCAGACATAGACGAGTGCACTGCAGGGACTCACAACTGTAGAGCCGACCAAGTGTGCATCAATTTACGAGGCTCCTTCGCCTGTCAGTGCCCTCCAGGGTATCAGAAGCGAGGAGAGCAGTGTGTAGGTAAGTACAGCAGGGCAGTGAGCAAAATCCTGGTCCTAAACCTCTTACTTGTTTAAACCTCAGTCATTCAAAACAAAGCACTCATATTTATTTGGAGAATGATAGCTAACAACTGCTTATTCTTTCATTGGCTCCTGATCCATTTTCCACATTAACAAGAAAGAGCTAACCTTAAAGGGTGAGCATATTCTGGATATCAAAGTGTTGGCTACATGTTAGACTAAGCAAAAGCAAAAATTTGGAGTATGAATGGGACCACAAAAGCAACCAAGAAAATAATTTTAAATTAGCTATTTGGGGGCCATAGCACCGAAACATTGATGAGGTGACCTTCATTCACTGGTTCAAAAAATAGCATAGCTTATAGGACACATGGTGAGGTTCAAATCCCAGCTCTACCCCTAATTCACTTTGAGGCTTTAGACAAATGACTTACATACTCAGGAGCTCATATATGGGAGTGATTAGAGCTGCGACAAGTCCTGGGTGGAATAGCTGTGTGCTATCATTCTGTGATGAGTTAAGACACATGTACTAAACATTCGTTATGTTGCATGTTGGTGCAGTGCTGGGAATGCAAAGCCAAGTACAGCATGTGCCTCTACTTGAGAGCTCTACTTAAGCTACCTGAGAGCAGGAGCCAGGTCTGGTTTGTGTCACTGCTGTCTCCCCAGACCTGAAAGGTGCCTGCCAAGTAGATGCTCTGTGCATTGTTTTTTATAATGACTAGAAGTATACAGTATGAGGATACTGACTGGCAAATGAGAAGTAAACAGTAAAAGTAAATGTGTTCTGGATTCAGCCATGAGGTCCAGCACTAGGAGTAAAACTTTGTTACTGACTCCCTATATCAATTGTGTTCATATGATATTGATAGTGATTTACATACCACCTTTTAACACACATCAGTGAAGAGTCCTTGTTTCCTCTTTGGAACAGAGGATAAGAATGTGGGGACAGGAAGCTAGCATTAATTTTCACCTGAGAATGTCCACTGTTGATGTCAGGATGTCAATACTGAGCTCCTCAAGGGCCCTGGCCCAGTCCTGCCCACCACGGGCTGTGCCCAGGTTTTGGGGTGAGTGCCCAGCCTCTGAGGAAGGCCCAGGTTTTGTGTGACTGAAGCTGTGATGTAGGAGAAGATTGTATGGAAAACTCCACAGGCACCAAAGTTTTGCCTGATGGATTAGTCAGGAAAATAAACAATTGAGGGTATAAAAGGTACAGAAAAAGAACTAACTCAACCTACTATGGGAAAAATTAAAGGGAATAAAATGTATGATTACAGCCCTATATGATATGGCAGGAGGAAACGTTCTTAAATTCAGCTCTAATCATGTGGCTTCCCTGCTGTTCCCCTCACCCACAGAACCAACTCCACATTCGTCAACAGAGCATATAAGGTCTTCTTCCATCAGATCCTTGCCCAGCTCTTTTGTATCAACACCCTTCTCTCCCCAAAATATTATACTTCAGCCTTGTTCACTAGTTACATTTCCCCACATACATCACACAGTGTCACACTTTAGTGCCTCTACATAAGCTCTTTCAGCACCAGGAACGTGCAGCCCTGGCAAACTCCTATTCAATTTCCAAATCCCAGCTCAGGGTCACTTCATCTGGGAAGTCTTCCATGATTTACCTAGACATGATTAGTTACTCCCTCCTCTATGTCACTACTTCTCAAACCTTGATGAGTCTTTTTTTTTTGTAAATTTCTAGTCTGTTGCAGATTGATACTACTATAAAGTACAATAAAAAAATGTTGTGGTAACACAAATTGCTATTCCTAAACACATATTCTCAATTTTTCTCAATTTCTGTACTTATTTGTTGCAGACTGGTCCAAATAGTCCATGGAGTAACAGTGGTCAGCAGGTCACACCTTGAGTAGAATGGGCTCTTTCTGTCCCTTGTACAGCTTTCTACTGTTGATCTTACCATTCCATGCAATAATATGTTTTCATGCCTTTCTTCCATGCTAGACAGGGTATACTGTATGTATTTACGATCATTATAAAACTGTAGTGCCAAACACAATGTTTGCAAATAACAATGATTCAATGGATGTTCACTGGTTAAGAAGACATGCATCATTTATTCATCAAGTATTTACTGAGGGCTGACCATGTACCAGATACTGTTCTAAGTGCTGGGCCTTCATGGTGAACAAACACATTTTACAGAATCACGTCCCTCATGGAGCTATTAGAAGGGACCATTTATACAAATTCACTGTCAATACTGGCACCTGGCTATAATATGGTGTACTAGGAAGAACTATGCTAAAATTGCTCTTAATTAGTATAAAGTCTACACTCATTCAACTAATGTTTATCAAGCACCTACTATGCCAGACCCTGTTCCAGGTATTAAGCACAAAGCAGTGAACAGACAAAAAATATTCTACCTTCACCTGAAGAGGAAACAGGTCTTATTTGCCATGCATTATAGTGAGGGAGATAGATAAGAAGCAAATAAACACATAACACAATGTGAAGGAGTGTCAATAGCTACAAAGAAATATAAAGCAGAAAAGGGGACAGATGGGACAGAAGAAGCCATTTTATATAGATGGACAGAATGGCCTCCCTGA